ACGAGCTGATCGATTCGCAAACGGTTTGTTGGAGCGTTTTCGAGGCGTGTAGAGGTATCCAAACGAGTCTAGCATGCAGAGAAACGACCCACATCGAAGTCCTGAGCAGAATTTACCATAATGCCAAAAATGCGAAAATACAATGGACATACCTCTACAACGAGCTGACCGATTCGCAAACGGTTTGTTGGAGCGTTTTCGATGCGTGTAGAGGTGTCCAAACGACTCCAGCATGCAGCGAAACGAACCACATTGAGGTCCTGAGCAGAAGTCAGCATAAGGGCCAAAAACACGAAAATAGAACAGGCATACCTCCACAACAGGGTGACAGATTTGCAAACGGTTTGTTGGAGCGTTTTCGAGGCGTGTAGAGGTTTCCAAACGAGTCTAGCATGCAGAGCAACGAGCCACATTGAAGTCCTGAGCAGAACTTACCATAAGGCCAAAAACACGAAAATAGAATAAACATACCTCTATAACAAGTTGACCGATTTGCAAACGGTTTGTTGGAGTGTTTTCGAGGTGTGTAGAGGTATCCAAACGACTCCAGCATGCAGCGAAACGAGCCACATTGAGGTCCTGAGCAGAATTTACAATAAGGCCAAAAACACGAAAACACAACAGACATACCTCTACAACAAGTTGACCGATTTGCAAACGGTTCGGTGCAGTGTTTTCGGGGCGTGTAGAGGTATCCAAAGGAGTCCAGTACACAGCGAAACGAGCCACATTGAGGTCCTGAGCAGAATTTGACATTCACTTGGCATGTGAAGCAAGGGAGAAAGGCACGAACAATGACGCACATTCATTTCCCGATCGCATTGATGGGAAATGAATGTGCGTCATCCAAAGGCACACAGAAGGGATGAAAGTCTGAGATCGTTGATGGGATCTCGGACCTTCCTGGCCTTGGAAAATCTTTATGGTTCTTTGTGAGATCTTTAGGGCAGACCCTTCGCATCAGATGGTGTCTTTTTTCCGCTGGCTGTTTCTTCTTTCTCCCCCCACACACAGAGACTTTAACCTTTATATCATAATGAGTGATGTCAGATCTTGTGTATATCAACAACTAAACATGCAAATTAGATGCTAACTGTCCATCTGCTGGACAAAAGCAAGTACATGAGTAGGAACTGCTAAAACCTAGGTTGTGCCAACCTATTGTGGTTCGTTTCCCTTCTTCTTGGGGTTGTTCAGATACCAACTTCATGCTCACTTTTGTCACCACACACAACACACTTAAGGATGCCATGCAAAGCACTGGCCCACACCCACAAGTGAAGAATCAGTCATGGGAATGTGGACCATCATCTTCCTTGTTGATTCAAAATGATACAAGGTTTTGGGTATAGGTGTCGTGTATATAAAGTGCCTTTAACCGGTGATGACCATTTTGAGCAAGAATCCGCGCCATCACCAGACAGTTCACACAGTCAGTAAAACATTGTAGTGTTGACTACAAAAATGCTAACAGAAGACTACAAACCCTGGACAAAGACTACAAAATCCTTGACCATGGGAAACCATCAATTTTCGTGGGAGAAAGGCTAAATTCTGCGTTAGAACGCTGAAAAAATCCTTGAGATCCAGGGTAATAAACGAGTCTCTTCGTAAACTCAGAGGACTCGTAACAATTGCACACATATATAGTGGAAAAGTTGTATTCAAAACTACTTTTTCACTTGTTGTTGGGTTTGATCAATCAATGGGGGTGGAAAGTCTTCTGTTAGTATTGTTAGTATAGGTATAGTAATTGCAGAGTAGTAGCAATATACCTTGGAAGGGTCCAACATCAGCTGAACTATCTATTTCAATGAAAAATGAATATAAAATAAATAATAAAATAAAATAAATAAAATATAAAAACTTACTAAACGACAAGCTTACAGCTCGATATTCACTGGGGCCAGCTTCACCATTTTTGTTACTTTCTCCATGGGTAGGTGGAGAAGTATCTCCATGCAGGTGCAAGCCCTTGAAATTAGTTTGAACTGCTTTATCAATCATCAGCAGCAGCAAAACCAAAAACAGTTGTATCACATACATTGTTGAGCCATGGTGACTTGATGTACAAATATTTGGTTTAGAAAATATTGTTGCAAGTGGCCAGGTAATAGCTGAAGACCAAAGTGAGACACTGTTATGTTGAACAGAGACTACAATAATAACCTGAAGTCTGAATATTGGGGACTTCATTGAGTACAGCTGGGCTACTTATATAGGTTGGAAACAACAAGGGGCAAAGAACAACAAGAAGACAATAAGAACAATAAGAACAATAGGAACAATAGGAACAATAGGAACAATAGGAACAATAAGAACAATAAGAACAATAGGAACAATAGGAACAGTAAGAACAATAAGAACAATAGGAACAATAAGAACAGTGAGAACAATAAGAAGAATAGGAAGAATAGAAACAATAAGAACAATAAGAACAATAAGAACAATAAGAACAATAGAAAAGATAGGGGTAGGATGATGACAATAGGAAAAATAAGAACAATAAGGATGTTGGAATAATGGAAACAGGTGACAGGAACAGAATCAATTCTAACAAATATAATTGGATGGCTAGAACAAAGAATATTGGTAATTAAAATTCTTTTCTAAAATTGTTCTTTATATATCCTGTTGCAAAAAAAAAGAGGACTCGTACCTGCCGTGCTTGCAACGGCCTCTTACACAAGTTTATTCAGCCTCAAAAATTATATCCGAGTAGTCACTGGGGGCATTGGCCTATTTATTCACAGAAGATATTGAGAATAAATCAGAGATAAAATAATAAATTATTCAGGGATAATATCAGCGAGGAAATGAAGAAGAAATTCAAAATTTCTTCTTCAATAACATCAGCATCTTACTACGGCTTAGATTGTGAATATAATAAAAATTTCTTCCGACGATGAAAGGCTGAGGATATGAAGAAGATATTGTGACGCGTCACGCCTTTCACGTGCCTTGCGGGCCGGTTGAGCCGCGAACTCAACTCAGACTAGTACTAGTACTACCACCTCAGTGCATGAAGATCTCGAGCCTGCTGACGAACTACAGTAAGAAAGAAGCCCTTACGGCTGAACAAACATCCGCTCCATCACAATCACAGCCTACGCCGAACAAGACATACCCTCCGCGATCTTTCAGACATGATTTGGAGTGGCGGACAGCTCACGGACTTTTTTCCACTCTGTTCGCGTTGTCGCAAATGTACTTGACGCGTGGATCTCCCCAGGAAGCTGAGCACTTTGCACAGCAGGGTCAGGATCTCGCTGAAGCACTGAACGTTCCCACAGTCGTGCGTTGTCTCGGAAGGCAGAGGTTCAGCTTCATCTTGGTCAACTGCAGGAGGCAAATGCAACACTGGTAAAAGCTGCTGCGTTACTCTCTCACCTGCCAGGCGTTGACACTATTATCGTTCATCGACTCCGAGCAGAGCGTAATGAGCGAAGCGCTCAGCATGAGAATGCGCAAGAACTTTATCTTTCGACATTGAAAATGTTGGAGGGGCTTGATGGCGCGTTCCAGCAATTTGAGACTTTGGTGTTTGGGGACGAAGCTTCTCCCTGACACTCTGTTAGCCGTTCTTCACCAGCAAAGTACGTTCATGGTCATTTTTCGCTACCTTTCTCTGACAAAAGCAGTCTGGTCACGACGCAATCAGCCAGATGAAGACCTCAATGGCTTGCTTGAGAAGTTTTTATCCCTGCCATCTTCATCCCGAATGAAGGTAAGAAACCTCGATTTCTTTTCAATGCACACATCTGACCCAATCGATTTCGAAGGCGAATGAGAACTCTCTCATGGGCAAACTAACTCTCTACAATGGATATGTTCCTTAGCTCCCTCACCGAGTCTAGTGAGTTATTCATTCTCACGTTCGTTGCAGAACCTTACCAGTACATCGTAGCAATCGCTATTCCCATGGGAATGTCGACTACGCACAAGGCTGCGTTCGCATTACCTACTCAGGATGTTCTGAACGCTCTGGAAGAGGCGGAGAAGCTATTCCAAGCAAACCTGTCATTGACTTCGGAATGGTAGCGTCCTCAAGCTTCGAGATGCTGCGATCTCTCTCGCACTGATCAAAGCCTTCCAAACCTCCCTTGGTAGACCAGGAAATGGTGGCTCAGCGGTCACTGCGACTTTACTTGGTGAGATTGCTTCTGACACGCGTGATTGGGGATACTGATGGTTTCACAGATGTTTCGACTGCAATCACTCTGCGGAGAGAGATGTTGGAATCCATTGAAACACAAATTTTCCGCACTTCAGAAGTCCGACGACCTCCAGTGGCCACTTATCACCTCTGATGGGACACCTCGTCCTCGGCCAAAGATAGAACACCCTGGAAGATTCAACGTTGATCTAGAGTCCGATGATGATGCAGAAGACAGTGCTTTGCGAGAAGGTACTTTGATTCAAGCTTACTGGACCTCTATCCGAGAAAAATATCGCTCACGACGCCTTGACGTTCAATCACTTTCGACCTCAGAGACGGGGGACCTTCCGGAGAACTGGATCGTGATCAACATCAATATCACAGATGACAAGAGCACGTTGTTCATCTCACGACGAGAAGGCGGAGTTGAAGGAAGCCAACCACTTGTTTTCTGCGTGCCTCTGAAAGGAAGGAGAGATAACGGAGATGACGATGTGGAAGACCACTTGGAGTTCAACGATGCTATTGGTCAGTTGCGCGAGATCGTAAGGTTGAGTGACGAGGGTACCAAGACAGCCGTCAACATCAAATCGGATGACAAAGAGGCTCGCGCGAATTGGTGGAGGCTACGTGGTGAGAGTCTGGATACGAGGTTACGCGAGCTGCTTGAAAATATCGAGTTTTGCTGGTTGGGAGCGTTCAAGGTTAGTGGGTTCTGTCTTTTCGTCTGACATGTGTTGACTATGTATATCAGACAATCCTAAGTCCACGGTCGGATGCAACTCCAGAGATGATTTCGGATCTCCGGGCGCAATTCGATAAGATCTTTCAGCGTAGCCTTCACGCTAAGGACAAGAAATCGAAGCAGCGGGCAGGAAACCACAAGAAAACCATATCGCAGGCACAGGGACCCAGTCAAATGACGCTTGATGATCCGATTCTCAACCGAAGTGCAAAGATGAAGAGCTCGAGGATCTTATCTACTTGATCTTGGACCTCTATTGGTTCCATGGCGTTCCAGTTGCTATTGCGGAAGTCGATATCGCTCAGCTGGTGGTTGACCTTCGGGCTGTGATGGAAGAACACGCGGCGAAGCTTCGGCAGTGGAAAAAGACAACCACGGGCAAGGCGACCAGCTCATTGGCTTAAGACCAGGACGAACACTTGTTCTTGGTCCTTGGTGAGCAGCAGTTCGTGAATGCGCTGAAGACGCAGGACTTGGTTGTGTAAGTCTTCTTCTTGTTCGTATGAATACTGCTGATATGAATGGTTTTATTGTAGTTACTTTGGCCATGGAGGTGGGGAACAGTATATCCGATCCCATAGGACTCGCAGCCTTCCGAAATGTGCTGCAACTATGCTTTGGGGTTGTTCATCGGGTGCTCTCAGGGAGTTGGGTGACTTTATAGGACGGGAACACCTTACAATTACATGCTCGCTGGGTGGTACGTATTCGAACTGTCTCCCGCTTCACTTACCATTAACGACATCTTCAATCAGCCCTACGCTCGTCGCGAACTTGTGGGACGTCACAGACAAGGACATCGACAAGTTCTCCCAATCCGTCTTTGACAAGTTGCGTTTGACTCCTGCGGATGTTAGCAAGTGGAATGAAACCGGAAAGGAACCCCGGGCCCACGCGTCTCCTTCTCTGTCTCTGGTGGCTTCTGTGGCACAGTCGCGGGATTCATGCAAGCTGAAGTACTTGACTGGCGCAGCTCCGGTGGTGTACGGTATACCATTTTATCTTTGATCTGGTATTTGGAAATTATCTACTCGACATTGTATCGTTCCACATTTATTTTAGATGTATTTTCAGGACTTGCCCAAATAGGGCGGTTGAATATTGCTTTGCGATTGACATCGACCAGCCAAATCACCGTTTCGAAAAATTTAACGCTTTGCAACTCATTAGACGAGGCTCATGGTGTACAAACTACGGAGATTTTAGACTTGAACGTCTGAACGATCATCCAGCCAAACCCAAGGCCAAGTTGTAAAATGTGCACGTGACTGACGCGATGCGTTCAACTTTGAAGTCAACGTCGACCACGATGATCAGCAGTTTCGATTTACGAATAGAGGTCGAGGCTCTTCAAGAGCTCGATAGTTACGACATTCCACACGACTATGATCTCACAACAGAGGATCCGGAGCGGCTTCTTGAAGGTGACTACCTCATTCCAATTCCACTCCAAAATCTGACGATTTGGTAGCTGCCGTGGAGGCTGTTGCCGACTCCAGCAGTGCAATTACGGACGAACAGGTTTTTGAAATTTATAGGTGTCTACTCAAACACGCAGACGCGAATATGGCTCCGTTATGAGCAAACTGCTCGACTCCATCTCCTCTGGCCTCCTGGCGGAATTAGAGGCCACTATGCGTGATGTGGAGTTGGGAGATCAGAAGTCGTACATGGCGCACAAAACGCCGTTGGAGCTGTACGCGTTTTTTCTGCAATGGTTCGTTACGGCGGCTGAGAAGGTCAAGGCCACTGAGGATGGTGATGCGCCACCGCCGGCAGCTGCTACCAAGGGCAGGAGCGGGAGGGGAGGGAAGGTTGGAGCGGGGAGGAGGGCTGGTCGTGGAGCTGCGAGCAAGAAGAATGAGGCGTGGACTTGGCAGGACCAAATTCCTGCGACACTTGGGCTGATTGTCACAGTTCTCCGCCTTCAGACGCAACGGATTTGGATGACGACTGTTGAATGGGACGCCTTTATGAAGTGCGTCTCTATCTTCTGTTCCCCTCTTTAGCTTCTAACATAGTGGTAGAACCATTAAATGACCCGCATATACGGTCGCTGAAAACGAACACTACATGAAGAAGTCAGATCTCAATCTCTGGGTCTACAAAGTCATGTCTCTCCGTGAATCATCATGGTCAATCGCTTGCTGTCAACACCAGCATGATTCCATTCCTAACATTCTTCGAACACCTCTCCGAGCCCATGGCAGAGTGCCTCACCGTCCTCGCTGGAGATGTTCAAGTCGGAGACGAAATCCTCCGCGAGATCGCGGGCAAGACTTTCAATGCGCAAGATAATAAAGGTTCTCGTGCATTCGCGAGGTTCCTCGTCAGATTCGCAGAGCCCGCTCCACGCCCATCACCCAGACAACTCATTCTCCTTCTAGACCAGCTGTATTCCGAGGTCTGTCTTGCTCCTTTCTGATGTTCATCGCCTGACGAGTACCCGTCTCACGCACCAGTCATACCCAAGGCGCCAAGCCATCGTCGAAGTCATGGGCTCCATCATCACTCTCAAAAACAAGCACCGACAACTCCAAAACCGCCCAAAAACAAATAAGCGGGTTCGTGCATTGTCCCAGTATTGATTTCTGAGTGATCTCAAACTTGTTTGCAGAGCCCAACACTGTGAGCAGCTGCAACGCTATCATTCAGCAAGTTCCTCTGCGTCAGTTGGCGATTCTGCGACCAGCACCACCAGCTGTTGTTTAAGATCCTCGAAACGTCCAAAGACGCTAGCATCCGAAGTAACGTTATCATCGCGTTGGGAGATGTCGCCGTGTCCTTCAGCAACATCATCGACGAGAACAGTTACGAGCTGTACAAGGGTCTTTCTGACGGCAGTATCATCGTCAAGAAGAAACGCTTATGGTCTCCATCAAATTATCCTGCAAAACTATGCATTCCCTGGTCGTCTTATGATCGGCACTGACTCGCATATCCCCAATGCTGGAGGTCTCGGTATGATTGCTTATGGTGTTGGTGGTGTGGACGCTGTGGACATTATGGCTGGGATTCCTTGGGAACTCAAGTGCCCCAAGGTCGTCGGTGTCAATTTGACTGGCAAAATCGGTGGATGGGCTACTCCCAAGGGTACGTTATCCGCTTCATGTATCCCTTAACAACGCCTTATCGTTTTCCAGACGTCATCCTCAAGGTCGCTGGTATCCTCACCGTAAAGGGCGGGACTTTGCTATTGTCGAGTACAAGGGCCCAGGTGTCGAATCTCTCTCTTGCACTGGTATGGCTACGATTTGCAACATGGGCGCTGAAATCGGTGCAACCACATCCATGTTCCCCTTCAACCATCGGATGGTCGACTACCTCAATGCTACTAAACGCGGGGATATTGCCAACTATGCTAAGCAGTTCGCCCACAACCTGAAAGCCGATGAGGGTGCGGAATACGACCAGGTCATCGAGATTGTATGTCAAGGTTTAATTTGAGATGTCTTCGTAACTCATCTTGCAGTAGAACCTTTCGGAACTTGAGCCCCACATCAACGGCCCCTTCACACCAGATCTGGCTACACGCATCTCCAAATTCGCTGAGGAGGCCAAGAAGAACAACTGGCCTGAAGAGATCAAGGTCAGCCTCATTGGTTCCTGCACCAACTCGTCATATGAGGATATGCCACGTTCGGCATCCATTGTCAAGCAAGCTGCTGATCACGGTATCCACCTCAAGAGCAAGTTCACTATCACACCAGGTTCTGAGCAGGTTCGCGCTACCATTGCACGAGACGGACAACTAGAAGCCTTCGAAAGTGTCGGTGGACTTGTTCTCACCAACGCCTGCGGTCCTTGTATCGGTCAATGGGATAGGCAAGACGTTTCATTCTGCTACCGATTACAAACTGAAACTACACATGAGAAGGCCGGCAAGACGATGATAACGCTTACACGAAGATGTACACGTCGTGGGTGAGCTTTGGAAAGGTGGATGAGAGGCGGTGACAGTAAATGATTGAATGACCAAGGTACGTCCATCCTTGTGCCAAATCTCCATAAACTGAATATGCGTACGTCGTTCCAGCCTACAACATTGAACGAAAACAAGAAACGAGTCTTGGGAGGACCACATCGTGCCGATATAGCGATTGCCGGAAGTCAATACCTTGCGTCGATGCAAGGTGGGACGGTGATGACGCTAAACGAAATGTGTAAGTGCTTCTTCGTGCTTAGGGTGTTGAATCACTTAGCAAACCTTCCTATTCTTTTCTTTTCATAGTTTTCGAGGGCAACGAAGCCATCTAACATAACCCACACGTGGACAGGGCGTTTAGCGGATGGCAGGACTTCGTCTTAAGCCTGGGGGACCGATGGCGAGGTGGAAGGGTTTTGGAAGCTGGAGGATGGTGTGTGACCATTTTGCGGACGACGAGACGTCGTCTTGGGGCAGGGAAGGTGCAGGGCATTGTGGAACCGTCAGAAAGACTCGAGGAGCATGACACATCGAAGGCCTTTTTGCAAGTGGGGTAAGCTTAATGCTCGTGTCTTTTGCCGGCACGTCGACAATTCACTTGGAAAGTATCACAGCAGTGACCTTTCCACTCCTCAGGATCATACCCGACTCGCAAACGCGAAATGCCACCTGTCCGTAGCGGATACGTTCATTTCTCCCGATTCCTCGCCCTTCCGGCGGCATTTACGCGTTAGATGTTGATGTTGGGCCTTCGTGTACGCGCGACATTGTTGTGTTGTTCGTCGCTTCCGGTGTTGTTTCGATTTGGAGTAGGCAATAGAGTGAAGTCTATGAAAGAAACTTGCGGAAAAGAGTATATGTACTTACGTTCGCGTAAAACTGCCAAATCTAACACTTAGTCGTTGCTGGACATGTCCGTGTGTGCATCACGTTAGAATTGAAGTTAAAGTCTTCGTGTGCGCGTTATTATTGCTTTGTTCATCTTCTCCAATGTCGTTTCGGTTTGTAGTAGGTAGTAAGACGAAATTTCTGGGTTTGAGTAGGACAAGAAGTGAATTTGGTTCTACATACTCGCGAATTAGAAATGGTGACAGTTCCCTTTCCCTCGACCTGACCGCATTCCTCTACTCCATCGTATACCATCCATCCGTTTCGTAGATGACGGTGTGCGCGACGGAACCGTTGCGGGCGACGACTGTAGAAATTTTGGCTCCAATAAATATCGGCAAGGGAATTAAGTAACGTACTCACAGGTAATAGGTGTCAAGTCTTCAAGATCGAGCTCGCGGTCGTAATCGGAGAACATCTCCGTACGTCCATCTTCAAAGATGTGGGCCGCCCAGCACTGGAAGTAGAAGCGTTCGCCCCCCTGGACGAACCCAAAAACTGTCGAGTGACGTTGACGAGTCCTCGAAGTATGGAGGCCGTTGCTGAAGGATGATTAGTATGCAATATGGGATCAAGGATAAGAACTCACAAGATGACGACCGCCCACTGATGCTCGCCGAAAGAAGTGTCTACGTTGTTCTTGATTTTCCCAATGTTGCACAGAACGCGCTGAATTTCTTCGCTGCGCCGGGGCGAGTTGGTAAGGACGTCGCCCCTGAGAAAGAAGTTGGTTCTCATTGTTTCTGAGGCGTTGTTGTGAATGACGGAGTGTTGATAGGGTGGTGCGAGAGAGGCGTGCAAATGATGGGAGTGGGAGAGTGTTGGACAAACAAATGACTATCAACTTTGCTGTGAACAACGATCGTCAACGATCCCTAAACCGAGCGAAAATCGACAATGGATGGGGGAGCCCGTGCTTGTTTTCTTGCGGGAACGCGATTTGCGGAAGGGTGTGTTGAGATTTTCCCGAAATTATGCTTTCTGTATATAGGACCTGGGTACGTTCTTTTTCTCCTTCCTCCTCACTTAAAACTCCTTTCCAGATGCCGATGCATGCTGAGGCGTCGCATCTTAAGCAGCAGGTTAAGCAAGTTTACCCTGATCCTGTGTTTGGAAGAGGCAACAATGAAGAGATATGGGGTGAGCGGTTGGGGTACCGTACTGAGCGTCCAGCGCCCGGCCCTTGCAGCTCCACCCCCGTAGGGTTGGTTTTTTACAAACGGCCGGTTTAGAGAGGTGTGTGCGCGGGAGATCATGTTGGGAATTAAATAGAACCAGCTGCATGAACAGCCGTCAGCGACCGCTCCTTTTGATAAGGAAATAATGTAAATTCACCAGACGTTTTCATCGACTTCATCGCCTTCATCGCCAATGTGAGGACTCCGACACGATACGCTGGGCCGTGCAGCATTTCCGTCCTTGAGAAAGAGTTTGCAGGTATGAAAACCAGTGTTCAAACGAAGGCGAGCTCTACATCTGTGCCTTCAGATGCTGTGATCTTGATGGCCTGGCCATTCACTTGGAGTGACTGGAGATCTATCCATTAAGACAAAAACAAACCCCCCTCATCATTTTATCCTTCCTATATTGATCAGCAACGGCGCGGATCTCATCCCTAAACAACCCCAGCTCCCCCTCCCAACCCCAATTTGTGCCCTCCACCAGCGCCTCCCTTCCTCCAGCTTCGGAGAAAGTTCTTTCAGACCTTGAGAACCGTGCCCTCTTGAAGGCGTTTGCAAAGTCAAAATCCCCCTCATGTAAGCGATATCTCTTTTCCGCAGTTGTCCAAGAACAAGATCAGCCCGTTCGCGGCCATGCATAGATCTTGCGTCACGCGTCCTCGTTTTCCTCCTCTTCGGTCAAGAACAAAACATCGCCTTCATCTTCAACGTGATGAATCATAAGGACTGGCCTCCACGTCGTAGGGTTCTAGCTCTTGCGTGTAGAAGACCTCTATTAGATGTGACCGACCTGGGACTTTGGCAAGTGGGGCTGAGCCGTTGGAGCGTATAGGCTGAAGTAATTCTGGAATCTGACGGCATCGAGGGGGGCTGGCATGAGAATGATTTTGAGGTCAGACCGCCTCTTGGCAACACCTTTCAACAGACCCATGAAAATATGTGATATGTAAGTCTGGATAGGCAACGAATTGCGGGATTCTAATAGAGTTGTGGTCAGACGAGGGCTTTAGCATGACGGGATTCATTATGCGCACTAGGTGTCGTCTTCCCCGATCCTGTCTCGCCGACTATTACGATGGCTTGGCTTTCGCCGTAATTTATGACACCAGGCCAGATTTGAGAAAGTCAACACAAACTTTTTGGAGGTTGACAATTTGATCTAGCCAGCTTTTTCTGAGCGTCTTTAGTCGATGTATGCTGGCTCCAAGGTCTGTATGGGGCGCTGCAGTAAGCAGAAAATGTTCGCGCGCAGCTACAGCGCTAGCCGGGGTTCATTCACCATTATAATGAGGACGGTTGATGTGCACCGTGGGAAAACTTATTACTTACGTTTGTCTACAAAAATTTAAAGTACTTGTGCTGTACATGTGCTATATATAAATATATATCATCATCTTTGCCATTTCTTAGCCTTGTCTTGACCCACCTCCAAGGAATTTGAAAGGGATGTGCACGGTGAGAGCCACAGCGTACTAAAATACTCGTTCTGGCCACCAATGATTTTAGGTTTTGCGTCGTGAAATACAGTGGTCTTTCGGCTATAGGACGTCGCTGAGACATACGTTCCGTCTGCAATATCAGTGACTGCGGTGGAACGGTCATAGAGTACGACGATGCGTCCGGAACGGTCTTTTCAAATGTGGAACTATATTGTCGAAGAAAATGCGATCGTGAATGAGGTTGCATTTGGACACGTCCAATGGCGCGGCGATGGTACAGGATTCGTTTGTGGGGCAGGGAGCTTGTGAGTGTCGTAGTGTTTCGTTTATATTAACATCTAATCCTTACGGTGCCCAGGGTCAGTGCTATGGTAATAGAGGGAACGATGAGTCAAGGGAGCAGACGAGAGCAAATGGTGTGTTATTCTTCCTCGACTCTACGCTACTTACCTGTGTTTCATAGCCAGCAAGAAGATACAGAGTATAGCGAACATATGAAGACTCTCAGAGGTCGTTTGTCTCACAGCAATGTGAATGAATACCCTCGCAGTTGAATAACAGTTCATAAAGAGCCGGAAGAGCCTAAACGTCTCTACGTGCTAGCGTGACACATTGACTTCCCGGATTTGCTTCAGGTACGTTTTCTCTGTTCACCCTCCACGACGTCTGAGCGGACACCAGGTCATGTCTTCGAAATTGCACGCTTTATCCTCAACTTCGACTTCGACTGCCCTCAACTCACTGAAATCATTTGCTCTCGTGGACCTCCCTTGTAAAGAAGGGGTGTTAACCCGCGCTCAACGATGCCATGCACCATTGCAACTGCCAGATGCTCGACAGCAGATGTGACAGATCTAGACGCCAAGCTTTGAGCAGCTTACCAGCGTCTCAACAGCGCCTTGAACCCATTCGACCGCGTCTCTCAGGCCCTCACAGACACCGACTTTTCTTGTTTTGTTCCATTCTCACTTTCACGAAAAACAACGAGGCTTATGAATGTCCATGTATCGTAGGAGTTACAACTTCGGGCTATGACCTTGCATGGAGATGAACTCACCGCGAGCTCCACCACACCGACATGTTTGCCGGCAACATATTTGGGAGCGTTGAAACGAGCAACAGCCGTGGCGAGGAGGTGCTTCAAGGAATCCCAGAGGTTGCTCAACTAGCGACTTCGAAGGTCAGTTTAATTACGTAATTCACATGATTAATTTTTTTTTTAGAGAGAAGAAAAAGTGAAGGAGATGCTCAGCGACGTAGTCAACTCTTTTGGGTCCTTAAAGGTCGCTCCAAACGACCTGTCTCTCTACTAGTCACTCCCTGAACTCCCACAAACCTTCAGGATGTCGAAGTAATCTGAACCGCTTCACATGCGCGATAGTCGACGTCCCACTCCTTCCCGCAAACATCACAAGTTGTGACCAGTGTCGAAGCAACGGTCGAGCGCAGCGAGCGCCGTGGCGTAGACACGGGTCTAAAGCTTGTATATATGATCCTAGTATTCTGCATATGATGGGTCAAGATTTCTGACGTAACTAGTATGGCATTCATGGTTAGCAGAAAAAAATCTACAAAGCCTTATGACACTTACTTGTAAATCGTGGGATCAATGGATAAATCATAATTCACATGAACCGGGCGTAAGGAGAATAGATCATCCTCCACCTTCCGTTGCTCCTCAAGCCACATGTCATCATAAACATTTAATGGGAGACAGTTGATGACTTTGGTCGACTTGCTGATCCTGTCTTGACTGTAGATACGCCTTCGAGGAAACGCTCCCCTTGACCGACGGACACGACGGCTAATCATATGAAGCCCATCAAGGGTGTGAAGCCACCTCGTGACAGACTGCGCCCTCCAGCGGGGCATCGTAACATGGTAAATGGGCCTGCGTTGGAGAGCAGCGGTACTCCGTGTCTCACATTCATCTTCCGATTCGTCGCTTGACATGCCGTCCACTCCGAGGCGCTGGAGAAAACGTATGTGTTTCTCCAGAGGCTTATACTTCGATGCGACAGATAATCGGCGTAGGAAAACCTGCTTTCTATCAACAGAAATTAAAGTTAACTTGAATGAGGTAACTCACTCCTCGTTTTCTTTGCCATCTACGAACTTTCTGCGAGTCGAGCTCATTACCTGCCTTTGGACGAAGACTTTTGAGGTGATCCGCACGTAAAGTCTTTACCCTCGTAAAGAATGTGTTTTCTATATCGTCCAGTAGGGGTCCATCAAGATTCAAATCATGAAAACGAGCGAAGTCGATTGCGAATACCCGAGCTGCAGAACGATTCCAAGGGGAACGCGGCCCATTGAGGATGTCGATCCTGAAATGGGATGCTGTGCAGCAATCGTCCCTTTCATGTCGAAGGCCTGACGTTGCGGCAAAGAGGTCCGCAGCTTCTTTGTCGACGTTCTGAACTCTGGGGCCCATAAGGTGAACAAGGTGATTCCGCACAGAGTCCTGCGTGAAAGAGAGCCAGGTAAGCTGCTCAAATTAATATTGAGATCTCCCTTACTGCCAAGGTTATTTTCTTGGGATCCCTACGAACAGGATGAGTTGTGATCTTGACCTCGGAATCAGCGTTAACTGCTACAGAAGGGGTTCTGTCGTGAGAGAAAACTAAATTTGACAATGTCCTCTCAAAGGATGCATTCTGCGCCTCCAAAGAAGAAACCATCTTCTCTAAATTCGAATTCACATTATTGGTCAGTCGTTGACCAACTTCTTCAAATTTCTTGAGAAACTCTTGAGCAAACTAGGAGCAAACGTCAAGATATGCATACTATCGGACAAGTGACTTACAAAATGGCCCCTCCCGTTCTCATCGTCGAATGTGTCATAGTCACCCGCATAAGCCTCCGCACCACCAAATTCATCATCACCCACAGAGAGTCCTTCACCGCCAAATGCATCGTCACTAACAGGGGCCTCCTCATCGCCTTGTTCATCCTCGCCGGCAAACATATTGCTACTGTGCTGTTTGTTACTGTCATAGTACCCATGGTCGGAATGCGCAGCAACTTCGGGTTCAGGAAGGGTGGAGCTAGAAGAACGGTCATGGAAGTAAAATAATGGGGTAGCAGGGCCACTGATGATGGACCAGGTCGGAGGCTCCATGGCACCATCGTCCTTTCGTACGTGCTCTGCAGAAGGTGGTCGGTCGAAGACTGGGTCCTGAGGGGATGGAGTACCAGCATATCTAGTTGGACGTTCAACCTGCGGAGTTGGGCTGCGATCGCGAGGGGGAATGTTGGGAATCGAATCATACCAAGAATCGTTCGGAGGGGCTCTCTTTTTGCCTTTGTCCTTGCTGCGGAATTCTTCGTGAGGTACTGCTCGAAAAGCCGGAGGCTCTCCGGAGGCTCTCGAATCTCTCAGATTGTCGGCGGGATCATTTTGCCCTGTTTCGCCTATGTTGGGCTTGGCGGTATTACCTGCTTGTTGGGACCGCTCCTGATACCCGGAACCTGGATAATGATGGGGTGAGGCATATTTTAGATAGAGGGAATGTCTACCACTGACCCGACCCATAATATGTTTTCAGAGAGGCGTTAGGCCGGTAATTTGAGGCGGTGGGCTCCGGAGACCTTGAGAATGGAGGGCGACGACCAGAAGCTATAGGCATGATTAGATATGTGAAGCTTGTTTGTAAAACTGGTTACTGCTACCTTGTGAATAGGCGGTTTTTAAAGGATTCGGCTGGTCGCGGCACCCAGGGGCGATGGAAGATTTTGAGGAACGAATCGGTAGGCCATCGGCGGGAATAGCTGCTGGAACAGAGGCCCAACACAATTGGCAACAATAATCGACAACCTTTTTCGCAGAGGCTTACATATAGTACTAGTAAGAGAAATACTTGTTCGGGAGGGCTTTGAGCTCAAAGGCGGCATCGTTGCAGGTGTTGTATAGCGGTCTAGATATCCGGTGACTGAGCAACTAAATTCACACCTACAAATTTCGAGGGACACATACGTTGCGTACACGTATAAAACGATTCCTGAGATGTGTGACTGGGAGGCATGGCTGACTATGACGTCGACTAGCAAGAGATGGGTGGGCGTTGCGATTGGGTGGGATGTTCGTACCGTGTATATGTGAGGTATCGCTGTCGTTCGTTCATCAAAATAATAGAGCGGTAATTCTACGTACCAGTATAAATTCAGGAAAACCTAATCACCACGATGTGACATTCCGGTCAGGCACTCAATCCGAAGGCCTAGGGTACCGATATCGATGTGCGCATATCCCAAGAAACATGCCACCTATATCCTTGCGGAACTCGAATTAACACGCGCTTTGAATTCATGATCAATCTGACATCGTATGTATTAGCCAGATTTCGGATGATATTGATATCGATGTCAGTAAAATATATGAGACGACGCACCATATGCATATATGTATGCGCAGCATACCTCAATTGTATGAAAACGAGGTCAAGGGGCGCGCTAGCGCTAGCGCTGCGTATATACGGATCCCTCCCAAGTATATATATAGTGAAAGCTTGACAACTTCACACACGCGAGCAGTTCCGGATTCACCGCTAGTGCTTGTATTAACTGGCCAGGTTCGAATTCACGCCAAATATTTTCTCAGTCCCGCCAATGTTAAGAACGTCAGGATCTAACCCGGGCCCGTACCATGAACGGCCATATCAGTACCTTGATAAAAATGGGGTTACAATCTCACCGGTACCTAGGTTCGAATTGCACATACAGGCATATGCGCTTGATCAATAAAAGGCCCACTAGTACTAGTACGCGTACGTCGCGATCGTGGCGTGTTGTCTATCGGAGTTCGTGTCGATCGCGACTGGTACCGGTACGCACAGGATCGCCAGTATTGATAGCGCGAATTGGAAAGGCCAGATTCAGGCTAAAAAAACTTGAGGCCTGGTCCGTATATACGTAGTAGTAGCATTCGCGACGAGGCCTGATCATGATGGCTAGCCGTGTGATCATGAGAGCTCGAGCAAGACAGGTTGGACAGGTTCAGCCTCAAGCTAGCGCTAGGTTCAAGATTGGTGCGTGACCGTTGTGCGCATGAGGTCCAGGTCAACGTTTCGTCAAATTTATGCATGAGGCAGCATATATTTGGGCTAGCGCTCAACGTTCAACTTCGGCATGTCCCCATTCGAGCAACGAGTGTTGAAACGTGATCATGAGGAAGGAAAACGGTCAGGGTGGAATCAAACAGTGACTTTGGCTGTGTTTGGCCATGGAGCCGGATTTGGAAGCTAGCCATATACTGGTAAGTACTGTCTTCGAAGTTTTTAAATTTTGAATCCACGGGCCAAACATGATATTATCATTCCTGCATTTAATTACGACTGGACACGCTCCGTAGAAAAGTACCACAGTAGATAAATATTTAAAAGGTCGAACCACACAATACTCGTTAGAAATCGACTTGGCAGACACCCGCAGACGTGGAGAAGAAAAGAACACGCCTTTTCGATCGATCGCGAACACGTTCTGGTTTTCTTTATAGAAAATCTGATACAAACGTCTTTTTTTTGGGGGCCGAATCCGAAAAAGCAGGTCCTGGTCATGAGTTGAAAGTCTGGGGTGATCGAAGTATGTGTGCTATACGCGTACGCGTACGCCACGGGTACACGCAAGTTTCTTGGAGTCCGAGATCTAGATATATAGATATACTGATTAACAGAAAGTTTCATTAGAGGTATCAAAAATTATACGTTGCATATGGTATATATAACAAAATATTGAGAAAGATGGTAGCTGAGATTTGTAATCACGGTTTGGTCGTAAAATGGGACCCACAAGGACCCACAAACACGCCAATGACTTGAAAGCTTAACACAGCCAAAGGAAAAAATATCGACGAGGTTTGAATTGGAATGGCTTTCGACTGCGCGTGGATGAAGGACTATCTTGAGTTCCAAGTTTGAGTATTTAACAGTACCCTGGCAGCGACTTCACATAAGTAGCTTCCTCCTCCATATTAATATTGATTAGTACCAACAAATTTACATTACGCCATCCTTGTACTTCTATGCGTAGAAATTTACGAATAGTTGGAACGATTGGGATCCTCTCATACGTACTTTATTGGATCGCAGTCCGAATCGTCACGCTGGTATTCTTGAGATTCAAAATTCGGCTGCTCGCATATCAGGATTCCCTCAAATGCGTCCGTGAGCTCGAGCTTGGTGTGCCATTTCGTCTTAGCTGTTTCAGGATGTTAACGGAGAAAACATCACATCACATACGGGCATGGTACCGGTAGAAGAGGCAAACAAGTGAGACCCACTATTTGGAATTACGTCGCGGGCATTTGCATCGGCATAATTTGTGTATAAAATACATAAAGCATATGTGCGTATACTACATGTGTACGTATCATTGATCAATCCTTTGAAAGTGCTTTGAATCAGATATCGGATCCAACCTGAGTACTTCGATTAATATTACAAGTTATAATCAAATCAACATTTCTGAACTCACAATGATGTTGACGGGTGGCTCCTCATCCTCCTCGACGGCCTCTAATACTCTCGACATGAAGCTGATGGCAAGTTCAGTCATCTGTGTGAGTTTCCCACCAAAAAGACGGATGCACTCACAGGCGTAAAGCCTTATTCACAATGTTGGAGGCCACGCTAAACCTCGAGAGAATGGGAACCCTGATCCCGAGTTGAAAAACGGCGAGTTCGCCACGCCAAATTAGATTCCGACTGATACCGGCCAATGTTTGGTTTCGCGGAATGTATTGGTCAATGTAGCCGACGACCAAAAATTTGTGTGAGTCGACGACAACGCGGGATTGGTGGAGCGGGATGTCAGGAAAGCGTGGTGAGCCTTTGAAAAAGTTGGAGGCGTCAACGACTGGTAGCTCCGTGGTCGGGTCGACATTGTTCACAATGGGGAAGTCCCGCATCGACCGCTTTTGGCCGTGTAAAGTGTAGAGGTAGCCGTGGGCGCCCAATGGCTAGATGGGAAATCAGATGGGAGACCAGGATAGATATGTGAATGATTCTAATTACAGGTCCTTCTTCCAGTGGCACCAGCTGGGGAGGTTCGTCCTGTGCCCCAATCCAGGCCTCTTCCATGTGTCCGACGGAGAGTGTTCTTTCACGGATGGTCGAAGCCGCTGACCTTTCACGTTGACGGGTAAGTCTTTCCACTGGCTACGGGACATTGTCAAAAAGATTGTAGCGACAAGGATTCGGAGCCAGCAGGTGCCTACCATTTGACCGCGTGTGTTTCTTGAGAGTAGAGGGGAGTGGTTTGACGAGCACTTGAATGCGAGCCGCGGCCGGTGAGACATATATATAGATCAAGCAAAGGGGGGCATCAAGGGGGGTGGGGGGAGTATAGTGGCCTTGTGGCCGATTGAACAATTCAAGAATTAAGTAAATCATTCCGGATTGAGTCGAACTCGAATTTGGAAAGAGAAAAACGACGATAAATGCATAGTACTTACTTATCCTTGACGAAGTCGCAAGTGCATCGACATGTATATGTCCATCTACATGTGTATGCGATCGAAGTCACATCGGACGGTGGTATCCTGAAGATCTAGAAGGAATTGCTTGATCAATCGTAAAGTACTAGTATGAGACCGGTACCGGTGTCCATGATCGATATCATGTCCATGAAATGCGAACCTTGCGATCGAGGATATTACTAGTAACATCCACGCCATGCGGCATACTGAGGACTGCTGCGTGGCGTCGATCCCAATCATTTCCTGGGGGGATTCTGGAGAGGGGCAAACCGACTGATGGCCTATTCTGAATTAGGGAGTAATAGCACAGTGCTGTTGGGGGAAGCTTGGCGCTTATAATTAGTGGCCAGGTTAAGCTCTTCTCTGAGTGATAGTGAACGCTGAGCGCTGAGCGCTGAACACTGAACGTTGGAGTTGTTCATGATCAAGAGTTGTTTCTAGATCTCAACAAGTGTCAACACGCTTGATAAGCTTGATCATGTGCACAACACGTTTTGCTCCCTAGATCTATCTACTGAGGTCCCTCAGCATTTTCGAATTCAGACCATCCGCAATATGTTCCTATTCGAATTCCTGGGCATGCACAACCCATGGCCATCGATCGCGACGTCATTATATCCCCGTTTTATGGAAGGTCCCTCTTGAAGTCCCTATAGAGATGGAACGTCATGAGTTTGGCGGGATTTCGACAGCAACATCTCCCCCCCGGCTCCCCCCCCCCCTTGTGTCCCATATTTACAACCTGCAGCATTTACAACGCTTGTCAACTCGTCCCATTCATCTACGCCTCAAACTTCAGACCCAATCATGTCGCAGACGACGGAAATGAATTCGATTACTTTGACCAATATTGGTCAAATCCCGGGTGCAGGAGGTGCTCCAGCCGTTGTATCCTTCTCCCCCGATGGTCGCTTGATAGCTATCGGGGAGGAAAGCGGGTTAATCACTGTGAGTGTTAAAAATTGCCCTTCTCTATCGATGTATTAACATAAACCTCAGATTCGCACCTCTGAAAAGCAGTTTCAAGTTCTCAGACGTTACGACGCTGGCTCCAAAGTGCAAAGCATTGGTTGGCACCCGAGCATTCCATTTTGGTTTGTTGCTGGGTGCATTTCGGGAAATGTGTATGCTATACATATACGGCCTAACACAGTAAGTAATTAACTTCAATTTCGCTTCATTTCGCTTACTTCAATTTTGTTCAAAGGCGGATGTGCTCCTTCGCGAAATACAAGGATTTATCCAAAGCCTATGTATCAACGATGACGGAACTCAGATGGCCTTGGGTTTCAGCGATGAACAGTCCACTTGTGTCGCGTTGATCGACGATCCCTTTGCTGGTGGGTTCTTTCTTCCTGATTCAAATTGAAGTGACATTCTTCGCAGAGCTACAGAAGCCATTACGAATCGCAAAGGCGAAGAACTTTCCGCCAGTCAGTAAAGTTCCCCATCAACTTTTGTTCTTAGACAAGGACAGCCTCCTCATCTGTTACTCGGGCAAATCCCGCTTTGTGTAAGCTCACCTGCCATGTTTCAGGTTAAATTGTAGCCTGATGTTGCTATAATCAGGGTTATCCAAACAAAGGATCCGTACGCAATTCTTTGGAAAATGGATGCGCCCATTGGTAATTATAATAAGATGTAAGTTTTATTTTCTGGAGGCACAGATTGAACTCTCAAAACCTCTTCTAGTGGTTGCGTTGCTTTATCGCCTTCGAGGTCCGAAATCGCTGTGACAAACCTGGTCAGCGGAATAGATTTTTATTCCCTTAAAGAACGGAAACATATGGGAACCACGTATTATGACTTTTTGGGAAAATCAAAATCCAATCGTATAGCCAACATTGCGTACATGCGAGAAGACTTTGTGGTCGCGGGGTGTGTTGACGGCAAAGTGATATTCGTAGAGAATCGCCCTTCCGCTGGCCAACCTGCGGGCGGGTGGGAGGCTAGATCTGCGCACAATTATAGGTTGCTGAGAACGGACAAAGTTAAGATCCGCTGTGAGTCTTCATTCCGACTCACTGCGATAAAGACTTACTGACCTCTGTCCAGCATCATTACGACTCGTGAGTCTTATCTTGTGCCATAAACAACCTAGCTTACCAGGCTGTTAGGCATTTGGTGTTGTCAGAAGCGAGCCAATTATTTTCTACGCAGACGGAGAAGGGGAGAACCTTTACTATGTCGTTCTTTCTGTCCACTTTAAACGTCACCTTACCAACAAAGATGATGTCAAGGAGGCCGAGACGAGGGTACGTTCTTCCTCATATGATGATATCATTTAATCAGCTTCCAATAGCACGGGGATGTGCCAACCACGCCACCACAAGCGATGGTTAACAAAGATCCATCTCGGATCGTTCACAACCAACAGTCGAAGCTCTCTCACGCCTTGCCCAATGATCAGTCTGCCCAGATCCCTACGTCTGCTGTCCAACAGGTGCCTCCTATGGCGTCCAACCAGGCAGTTCCCATGATGGTGCCCGATGAAGTACCTCCCATCATGGCGCTTAACCAGATGCCTTCCATTGCGTCTAGTCAAGTCCTTCCCACTGAAGTGCCCCTCACGACATCCAATCAGGAGCCTCTCGTGGTACCCAATCAGGTCGACGATAGGTCGCTCATGGCGCCCACGGAGGTCTCCACTTCGTCGTCAGGCCACGTCAACGCCGCATCCGCACCCAATCAGGAACCTATCACTTTGTCCAACCACTCCTTTGGTGCCTCCACCCATGCCTCTGCCAACTCTTCGGACCAGGTTCGTTTCAATGTGTCCGACGTCTCTCTCAACGTCTCCGACCAAGTCCTTCGCAACGCCTCCGACCAAGTCCTTCGCAACGCATCCGTCCCTCCAATTGCAAATGCGTCCATCCCTCCCAATGCGTTCATCCCTCCCAATGCGTCCGTCACTCCTAATGTGTCCGTCATTCCTAATGCGTCCGCCTCTGCCACTACAACTCTCCCCCCCACAACCGCATCAACCAACATGTCTGACTTGAAAGTCACCCAGGCTCCTTCCGTCACTTCCAATCAAGTATCTTCAAGTACTAGTACCACCGACAAGGAGGACTCCTCTCCAACAGCGCGTAGTGGCCAACTCAATTCGGAGAATGACTTGCTATCATCGGAGAATGATTCGCACCATGGCCAACACTTTTCCACGGCTCGGAGGGTATCGAGAGCCTTAAAAGCTATTCTTTCAGCGGCCCTGGTCGCCTGGATTATTGCAGCCGGTTACCCATACATCTCTTCGAAATCTCTATCAAATTTGAAGCAAGCTCTTGACCCTTTCCTCCCACTGCTAAGTCAACCCACTGCGGTTGCGTATGATTCCGAGACTGCCCAATTTCTAAAGCCGAAAGTCGCGCTAGCAACTCAACCTACAGTGATTGCGCATGATCATGATCCTGAGAAAGTCGGATTGCTCGAGCCAACCACCAGGTTGACACCCGAGAGATACATGGAAGAATTTCAGCTCAGGGCAGCAGGCATCACTCAGGCTACGGCATGTACGCATGTCCCGTCGCCAACAGAATCTCCCGCCGTTAGTATCGTGGTCTGCACTGTCACGGAAACCGTCACAGTTACAGCCATACAATCGGTTACCATTACAACAGACCTAAATAGGCCCACAGTTCTTCCTGGCCCTGCCCCCCCTCCGAAGCTGACCAGTCCAGAGACGGCGAACTCAGGCTCAAGCACGAATTACATGTTTTATTGCTCTATTCTGCTCTGCCTTTTCTCGCTTCGCTTGCAAATTTTGCGCTTTCTTCCCCATATCAACAAGTTCTATCACCTTCTCCGCTACGCCTATCGCCTTCTCCACTACGTGTTTTGCCTGTTCGCCGAACTCACGCGCCCCGCTGAATACAACGAGACAAGCCCGGAAAAGGCCCTGAAGTCCGACGTAATGATCGTGGAGCCTGAGGGAGACTTGGAGCTTGAGGGAGACTTGGAGCAGAAGGCGGACGAGGAATTGGACTTGGTCAATATCAAATCTGAGGATGTGGATTCGAAATATTGAAGAATGACCCTCATGCCACCTCATTAACAGTCTATTGATCATGACTCGTATAGTTTCATTCTCTCATGTTCACCTTCGAATTCGTAGGCCTAGGCCTTAAATTTCATTTCATATTGATTCCGGAGTACGTACTAAGTATATATAGCTAGTATTTTACGTAGGAGTACTAGTCCTATGTTTTCACGATCTTGATAGCACTGATCATGATATCAGTGATGCCAAGTGCCAGTCACGATCTGATCTCGCCCTGCATGCCGTTGATCAAATTTAAAAGGGGGCGCTTTGTGGCCATATATATAGATAGATCTAGAACCAACATGTACAGAGCGTTTTCTTTCAGTTACGAGCACTAGCTATAGCTACGGCAGCGCAATGCGTCTCAGTACTATTAACGACCCCGATTTTCCCTCTACCAATTCATTCAGTGGCCCGGAAGTCCCCAATGTCATCCTCGACATCGTTTCTTTGCCAGGAAAGGACCGTCCAGCGAGGTTCCCGCCATTCCCTTCTGGCCGGATCGGTGACCCAGACGTAAGTAAGCTACGCTGGTACGGACAATAGACTATTTCATGCGTTTTATGATTAGACATTCACCATGGATTTTGGACACCTCTCTTTAATGGACTCAAATGCTCATGAAAGAGTTTCAAGCACAGAAGCCGTCAATCACCTTCCCCACAGTGCCATCACGCCGTCAATGCAACATGAG